GATGTGTCACGTACACGAGAATGTTTCCTTTTAAAGAGTCGTTTATACAGACAAATACAAGGAACATGTGTCACGTACACGAGTATGTTTCCTTTTAAGGAGTCGTTTATACAGACAAATACAAGGAACATGTGTCACGTACACGAGAATGTTTCCTTTTAAAGAGTCGTTTATACAGACAAATACAAGGAACATGTGTCACGTACACGAGTATGTTTCCTTTTAAGGAGTCGTTCATACAGACAAATACAAGGAACATGTGTCACGTACACGAGTATGTTTCCTTTTAAAGAGTCGTTTATACAGACAAATACAAGGAACATGTGTCACGTACACGAGTATGTGTCCTTTTAAGGAGTCGTTTATACAGACAAAAACAAGGAACATGTGTCACGTACACGAGTATGTTTCCTTTTAAGGAGTCGTTTATACAGACAAATACAAGGAACATGTGTCACGTACACGAGTATGTTTCCTTTTAAAGAGTCGTTTATACAGACAAATACAAGGAACATGGGTCACGTACAAGTGTATGTTTCCTTTTAAGGAGTCAATTGTACATATACAAGAAACATGTGCCATAGACTTGTGTATGTATACATTCATTAGTGGCAAATAACCTGAGTGTTTTGTCCTTCAATATCGTAATGTATTTCATATTTTGCATGACATACAACGTTTTCTTTTACCAATCCCAACACGCATCTCGTAGGCAGTTACGGCTGACTGCAAAAGGGGTTTGGATACATCAAACAAACATTTAATGAGCTGATGACAACATCGACTTTATTCATACTCACTGGTGGAATGTTACGCCATCCAGTGCACTGGCTCCGCCTGCAGCTAAAAACCTTAAATGCGAAATTAAAAAAACAACAGATGTGAGATATTTACAAAAATACCAAAAAGCAATGTATAAGGAGCATTCGTTTCCATATATCAAGGGGCGGTCGGGTAGCCTAGTGGTTAAAGCGTTCGCTCGTCACGCCGAAAACCCGGGTTCCATTCCCGACATGGGTACAATGTGTGAAACCCATTTCTGGTGTTCCCCGCTGTAATATTGCTGGAATATTGCTAAAAGCGGCGTAAAACAACACTCACTCACTCACTCCATTTTTCAATGAGAAAGTTGACGACAGATACAATTGTCATTGTTATTTGTAAGATCCATATTCCTTCAAGGAACCAATACTGCTATTATAAATATATATGGATTATGATTGTTAATTATAGAAATACTAAAACATATACACTCAACATAGTTAGATTTTAGTTTTCCTATCCCTTTAAAAATGATTATAATCTTTCAATACACAAAACGGTCATGTGGTATTGCATATTTCGAATAAGATGTGGTCGGGTGAAATATTACTCTTCCATCAGGCCAGTTCTTGTTCGATCCCCTTAATGCCTATCACCAGGCAGGGTAACAACAAGTACTATCTTCTTACCGTCAATTTGGTGTGCCGCGATCAGTGGACCGAAACAGCCACCCCCGCTCTCCTTCCAATAGACATTATCATTGCATGGGGCAGTGGTGTGTGCTTGCTGTTTAAATGCACCATGTTAAATTAACGTCCATCCACACAAAGATATTTTACACTGAATCTTTGAAAACAAACTCACTCTTCCACATATGAGATGGTAGCGTTTGATAAAATGCCCGCAACATCTGGCCCTAGAATTCGAGTGTTGTTGAAGTGTGGCCGATCTCTGAGCACCTTCTCTAGTGTTCCAAAATCCTTTCCAAGTTGCCGGGCCGACACTGACTGGTTAAAGTTTTTGGGGAACATCCGAGGCTCTAGGAAAGTGACTAGTCTAAGATACCACAGATCCAATATCAAACTCATTTGAATAAAAACTTACACAATACCCACATCAAACTCGCAGAAAAGCCACGAAACATGAATATGACTGTTAAATTTCAAATAGACTGCAAGAAATAAATAGAAATATGAAACATATTTAGAGAGCAGGATTTTGAGATCCTATTTCATAGTCCTGAATGAACCAGTGAGTGGGGATGGTTTCATGCGTCCGTCAGCACTATTCCTGTCATCTTATGGAAGGTGACACCATGAACGGATTTCAAACCACGTTAATCACAATCAATCCCCTAACCATTTATTGGCATGCAGAGGGTCCACACATGTATGTTGTTTACATGACATTCTCCGGTAAGATTTACAGTATGGTTTGTGCTTCTCTTCGTCCTGAACCTTACCGGGGGGCACGGGTGGCCCAGTCGTCTGAGGCGCCACGATTCGCTGTGCAGAGTTGCGTCCCTTGGGCACGCCAGAAACCTATGATTGTGGGTTCGAATCAAGGTTCGCCCTGATTATGTTTCTGGGTTTGTCAGCACCATACCCGTGCTCGTGGGTTTCACTGAACTGGTAAAGGTCTGAGACCTGCATCACTTCAGTGTTTCCTCCCATATTAAGCTAACACGCCGTGATATAACTGGAATAATGTTTAAAACGGCGTTAAACCCAACTCACTTACTCGTGAACCTTACCACTCTTATGCCCCACCTACCGTTGCCAAGTTCTAGGCCATATAATTGATATCCTTTCTTGGATGTGTAATTTAGGAATAGCTCAGCGTTGGTAGGGTCCCACTGCCCATCTCGTCTTTCAAGGACATTTAGGCCAAATATCAGATCCCATCCAACAAGGGATGTGAAAGCGTTGATTTCATCCCAAACAGAAGCTGGAAAAACATATACATATGTTCATAAGAGAGCAACTGGCTCGCTGACTTGGTTGATGCATGTCATCGGATCTCAAAAGCGTAGATCTTTTCCTCGTGATGTCAGTCACTGGATTGTCTGGTCCAGACTCCATCATATCACACATTGTTTTCTCGATAAACCTTGAAGAGAAATGTAACTATATGAATGGCCATCACGTTTGGATCAAAGTATGAAGTTTTTCATTAAGATTGCCATGTGGATCCGTGGTGAACAAAAATAAAAAAACAACATTTGGACATAAATGACATTGGGTCTTTTCTGAGATTAGAAACAAAATAAGCGAACCATTTGCAATTTTGAGAATCATCATGATATTTAATCCATTTATCTCCAATACTTTCTATGAATTTAAAGAAATTAATTTCTTGCTTTTTTTCTGGATGATAGTACATTTGCTGGACCCAGCAATAACTTTGTACGGATTTTTATGGAGCTTGGAATTCAGTACAAAAATTGGAAATAATCTTCCTTGATGCGTTAGAGGTGTTCTTCCAGTTTGGTTGCGGGTTGATGGGCCCAGGTAAGAATAATGTAAGTCCCCAACAACCACTACTTGTAAGAGGTGACAAATGGATCAGGTTTCGGCCTAACTGACTTGGTTGATTGCATGTCATCGTATCGCATTTGCAAAGGTCGATGTTTATGATCTTACTCACTGGATTGCCTGGTCCACACTCGATTATTTACAGACTGACGTCATATAGCTGGAATGCTGTTGAGTGCAAACAAATAAACAAACAACTGAAATATTTTGTTTCGAATATGTTAACCTGATCTCAAAGATAAATAAGAAGGAGAAATATATACCTGAAAGATCCCCCTGGTTGTTTTCTGTGACGTTATTCGGGTCAAAGGAAATGCCATCTTCGGCAGTTCCGCCGATTCTAAGGATGTTCGGTTGGAAGCCCCCAGCCAGATTAAGCAATTTGGGTGATCTTATTGAAAATAGCATGGATTAAGAAACGACTCGATTAGAGGTGAAAATGATATGTGAGAAAGCCATTCGAACTTTAGTTGAAATGTCATTAACATACCTTGAATTGCACAAACAATTGGCACAGAATCAGCTTAAGTGAGTGAGTGAGTGAGTGAGTGAGTGAGTGGGTGGGTGGGTGGGTGAGTGAGTGAGTGAGTGAGTGAGTGAGTGAGTGAGTGAGTGAGTGAGTGAGTGAGTGAGTGAGTGAGTGAGTGATTGAGTGAGTGAGTGAGTGAGTGAGTGAGTGAGTGAGTGAGTGAGTGAGTGAGTGAGTGAGTGAGTGAGTGAGTGAGTGAGTGAGTGAGTGAGTGTGTGAGTAAATGAGTGTAACGCCACTGTTATCGCTGATACGAGTACTACAGCTTCTCAGGTTAATATTTCGAGAAACTCCAGTTTGATGCAGAGAGTAAGCACCCATCCATGATAGAATGAGCTCAGGTGTTTTTGTGACCTTCATTGTGCCATGTCAATGATAATAAAAACATCGAACACACAATTCTGCAAGGCGAAAGTGGACCACTAAGGACGCATATTCAGCCAACTTGAGAAAAAAAAGAAAACTCACGACAAGTTGAGACCACTCTTTTCCAAACCAGTTTGAATAATGCCGGAGTCGAGGGTGACGCCAACAAAGTTGTCCTGAACTCTGTTGAGGACAACGCTGGTGTCGATGTAGATATTGACATTTAATCCCCGAGAATCAGGGAATAAAGCCACGGTCAAAAATAGCAGACGGCCTAGCAAAGCCATGTACAAAGTCGTCCACAACCAGTTCTTTACTGTCTCAAACAGATAACAATCATGGCTGAATACTTATCTGAGCATTTCATTTGAGACTATCATCTTATCTACAGCTGTGGTTTCCATTTGCACAGTGAAACGTCAACATTCCTTAATACCAACATTTTGATAGTGCAGGTTCAACAGGGAAGCTAAGTAATTAGACAAAACACATTACAAGGTTTACAGACCGTCGTCATATAGCTAGAATAATGCTGAGTGCGACTTTAAACAACAAACAAACAAACAAATTATAAAATAGAAGTAATTCCGGATAATATATATATATAGAGAGAGAGAAAGATCAAAAGCTTCGCCAATAGAGTTGAATCTTGAGGAATTAATCATTTTGCAGCAAAACAGATGATCGAATATGATGGCGTGTGGACCCCAACTCCACCCCTCCAACACCCTACCCACCCCACCCCAACCCAACCCCAACCCACCCCAACGTAACCGCTTTGGTCGACCACGTGTGTATTATACGAAGAAAGTTGCCCCGACGATCCTTACAGATTGTCTTCCCAGTCAAGGCAAGTAACTCTTCAGAGCTTAACACCAAGCGGTAGTTATGAGTCACCGCGCTGTTGTAATATAAATCAACACAAAATCCATATTGCATTGTTACGCATTACAAAACTCACATGCACAGCATAGACATATCTTCTCTGTGAGGAGCCCCGTTCTCTTATAGTCATAGATAAGCTGGGTTTGTCCACACTCGTACAGTTGGCCTGTTCCGAGGCAATCTATCAGTGACTTCATTGACTGTAAGTAAATCTAAAGTAGCTAGCAATTCTAATTAATTTGAGAGAACGGCGTATGTATAGATGTACTTGTCTTTAGTATGCTTTTCAATGCTGAATGTTGTTTATTTCACGAAAATGAAGCCCTGACGATACCGAAACAAGGTTTATGTTGATTACGCTGCTTATGAGATGCGCAGGTTCAAATGTGTATTAGTAACCACATTTCAAATCGGGATATTAATGTATATAATCCTATGGAACAACCTATAGCTATGTCTTGTCCCGGACTACAAACCCGGAAGGATCACGGCACGAATTGATCTAGGTCAGGTCGTAGACGAGAGCTGAAAATCGATGTGAAGGGACGGAGAAGGCAGGACTCAAGATAAGGACGGAGAATACTTCCTTCATTACTATGCATATTGTAGTGATTAATTCCCCCTCGTGCAATTCTTGAGATTTTGATAAAGATACTGCCTATAGATTTATGTCTGAAAAATAGATATGGATATATACACCCTATACATGCAGATACAGATATACATGCATGTCGTCATAACAGTATGACCCAAGCTGTAGACTTGGAACACGTTCGTTTTATAGTTCAGTTTTAATGTGTTGACACGGTGCGTCGTAAACATACCTCTTACCCACTTACACCCCGACACTGCCTCCATTACACCTTGGTACACTACATCTCTCTCTAACACCCTGAAAACATCCGTCACTACATAATGGACGCTCTCTCCCCTACAACCACCCTGAATACTGCCTCTACTACACCCTGGTTAATCTCTCCCCAACACCATGAAAACATCCGTCACGACATCCTGGACGCACTCTCCTCAACACCCACCCTGAATACAGCCGCCACTACAACCTGGGCATTCTTTCCCAAACACTATGAATATCGCATCCACTACACCCTGGTAAATCTCTCCCCTAAGCTCTGAAGACTGCCTCCACTACACCCTAGTAAATCTTTCCTACACCCTGAACACTGCCTCCACTACACCCTGGTAAATCTTTCCTACACCCTCAACACTGGCTCCACTACACCTTGGTCACTCTCTCACCTAAACCCTGTGAACTGACACTACTATACCGTGAGATCTCTCTTCCAAAAACCCTGATCACTGCCTCCACTACACCCTGGTCACTCTCTCACCTACACCCTGAACACTGCCTCCACTACACCCTGGTCACTCTCTCACCTACACCATGAACACTGCCTCCACTACACCCTGGTCACTCTCTCACCTACACCCTGTGACCTGGCTCCACTATACCCTGGTAAATCTCTCCCCTAAGCTCTGAAGACTGCCTCCACTACACCCTGGTAAATCTTTCCTACACCCTCAACACTGCCTCCACTACACCCTGGTCACTCTCTCACCTACACCCTGAACACTGCCTCCACTACACCCTGGTCACTCTCTCACCTACACCCTGTGACCTGGCTCCACTATACCCTGGTAAATCTCTCCCCTAAGCTCTGAAGACTGCCTCCACTACACCCTGGTAAATCTTTCCTACACCCTCAACACTGCCTCCACTACACCCTGGTAAATCTTTCCTACACCCTCAACACTGCCTCCACTACACCCTCATCACTCTCTCACCTACACCCTGAACATTGCCTCCACTACACCCTGGTCACTCTCTCACCTACACCCTGAACACTGCCTCCACTACACCTTGGTCACTCTCTCATCTCCACTCTGAACACTGGCTCCACTATACTCTGGACTCTCTCTTCCCAAAACCCTGCACACTGTCTCCACTACACCCTGGCCACTCTCTCACCTACTCTCCGAACACTGCCTCCACTACACTCAGGAGTCTCTCTCCCCTACACCCTGAACACTGGCTCCACTATACCCTGCCTCAACTACACCCTGGTCACTCTCTTATCTACACCCTCAACACTGCCTCAAATACACCCTAATCACTCTCTCACCAATACCCTGAAAACTGCCTCCACTACACCCTTGTCACTCTATCCACATACACCCTGAAGAATGCCTCAACTACACCCTGGTCACTCTCTCACCTACACTCTCAACACTGCCTCCACTACACCCTAATCCTTCTTTCACCAACACCCTGAACAATGCCTCAACTATACCCTGGTCACTCTCTCATCTTCACCCGGAACACTGCCTCCACTACACCCTGGTCACTCTCTCCCTTACACTCTGAAAGACTGTATCTGCAGAGGTGTGTTTACAAACGTAGTTGTGTTTTTATTTTCTTATTCGTGCAGGTTTCCGAGAATTCACCGTTCAAGAATGAGAACAGTTGTAGCATCAGATTGATATAAATGTCTTTTCTCCTGTGGTGGTACTGAAGGAAACAGCAAGCCCAATAATAAAAATATTCCAACTGGAAAATATGAGCGACAGAGAGGGCAGGTCGTAGTCATAGAGAAACGATTCACCCAAGTAAAGTTAGCAAGGATCAATAACACAGTAATTGATGGCGTGAAAACAGTGCACATGCAGACGAGAAGTAAAGTGTTGGCTTGTGTAAGGGAAAGATGGGTGCATGGGACAGAGAGTGGAGACAAAGAGAGAGAGTAAAGGTGGACACAAGACGTAAAGGGTTGACCAGGGTAAAGAAAAGAAGGATGGAGGACACAGAGGGTGAGGCCCATGAGAGAATGAGGGTCGAGGGCAGAAGTAAAGGGTTGACCAGGGTAAAGAAAAGAAGGATGGAGGACACAGTGGGTGAGGCCCATGAGAGAATGAGGGTTGAGGGCAGAAGTAAAGGGTTCACCAGGGTAAAGAAAAGAAGGATGGAGGACACAGAGGGTGAGACCAATGAGAGAATGGGGGTCGAGGGCAGAAGTAAAGGGTTGACCAGGGTAAAGAAAAGGATGGAGGGCACAGAGTGTGAGACCAATGAGAGAATGAGGGTTGAGGGCAGAAGTAAAGGGTTGACCAGGGTAAAGAATAGGATGGAGGACACAGAGGGTGAGACCAATGAGAGAATGAGGGTTGATGGCAGAAGTAAAGGGTTGACCAGGGTAAAGAAAAGAATGATGGAGGACACAGAGGGTGAGGCCCATGAGAGGATGAGGGTTGAAGGCAGAAGTAAAGGGCTGCCAAGGGTAAAGTCAAGAAGGATGGAGGACACAGAGGGTGGGGCCAATGAGGGAATGAGAGTTGAAGGCACAAGTAAAGGGTTGACCCAGAGAAACAGAAGAAGGCCAAATGAGACTGACAGTGCTGCTAACAGATCAATGTCGTTAGAGTCAAGAAATAAAGGGACTGACATGGCGAAGAAGAGGACGGCGAAAGGCGCGAAAAAACATCGAGTTGGGATCAGAAGTAAAGAGTCCACCAACCTAAAGATAAGGACAGACGAACCAGTAAGTGAATGCAAGCAGGATAAGAAAACAGGGACAAGAGACAAGATCGTGACCCGGTTAATGAAAGGGACATTTAAGACAGAAAGCAGAAATGAGGAAGTACAAACCAGAAGTAAAGGGTTGACCAAACTAAAGGGGCGAACAAGGAGAGGATATGAGATGAGAGAACACAAAGATATCAGTGATAAACGAAGGAGCTTACGCATCACTGAGAGAAATATGCGACAACGGCATGAAAAAGATGAAGGATTGAATTCACAACAAAATTCTAAATCTGAAGAAATGTCAACATTAGACAGAAGGGTTGTATTAAGGAAGGATGACACATCTTACCCTTTAAAGGGACCAGGGAAATTATATTCTGAAAAAGACACTCAAACAGAAACAAAATCTAAAAGGGACACCGAATGTAAAGGTAACATGAAATCACGAAAGAAGCAGAGGCCATCTGCTGTCAAGAAAAAGCAACACGATGCTAGATGTGGAAAGAGGGGTAAAGGAAAACAAATATCAAATAAAAAGAGGAAAGAAAAAATCGGTAAAAGGCACAAAGGTCCTCCATGCTCTACAGTCACCAGGAGCACTTGGTCAGCAGTTGCTGATGTTGCGACAGAGGACGTTCAAACAGCGGACACTGTGGAGGAAGAAGAAGGAGAAACTGATGAAGATGATGAGGAAGGCGGGAATGTTACATTGGGGGCAGCAGCTTTTTCAAAAGTGGTGCTTGAGACTGGCCAGCGTCAGAACTCTCACAGTATCCATGATGGTAAGGAAGCGAACCGTGATATAGATATATTTTCCAGAAGACTCCGGCACTTTTGTAAAGTGGTTTTCTTTATATATACTTGGCATGTAGTTGCATAGAATGTCTAAATGTTTGGTGGTATTCAGTGTAAAGTCCAGTATAATTGTCTTGACTGACGTGTCACCATTACGTTTAATAATACCCCTCTAAACATTGTTCTTTTTAACCTTCTGGGCGCCAAGACAGTTCATCAAATCAGATTATTCGGACAGTTTTGGAGCTTCCAACGAATGCTCTCTTTTAAGTATACTTCACAATAATTATGCCTTGTTTTCCCACAGCATTAAAAACGCTGACGCATCATATTGCCAAACAGGGCTCATCTACCTGCCAGGATTCCAGCATGGCATTGATGCCTTCACAATCTCATACACAGGAGATGGACACAAACTGGGTGCCTGAGCCATCACCATCATCTGGTGCTGCTTCAAGTAAGAAGATTTGCCTTCTTGACTTAGTCACACTAGATGCTGACATTGATGAAGATAATGTATCTTCACTTAAAAACGCAAACAAAACCTCTGCGCTTATGTAATCAAGAGCAGTTTACATTAAATCAGGAAAACATTATTTCATCTGGCTTTCAATGCCCCTTATATATATTTCAGGGTAATTCATATTCTTGTAAAAATATTATATTTTCCCGTAATTGCTCTAAAAATTATTTGACCTCAGGATTCACCAAAAAAAAGTATATATCGTTCACTTAACAGAAATATATACCCCCACCCTTCAACATTGACATCCTAGTCCCGAATATCAAATGGCAACAGCTTGAAGTGAATGGGGTATGACATTGCGTTGAAGGTAATTGCATATATTTAGCGACTTTCATGCATGGTTGCGGCTGCTTGTGCTAGTCCGGCTGATGCCGGTTTTATAGTGCGAACCCATTGAGATATCACACAGAGGTTTAACACGAATACCCCACTCAGATACTCAACAGATCGTCTTTGTTCAATGCCTTAATGATGAGCGCCAGGCAGGGAAATAACAAGTACCATTTTCTTATTTTGTCGCCGGGTGATCGAACAACCACAAGGCGGTAGTTCCAAATGATAAAAACAAACATTTTTTCCGTAACAACCGTAATATCAAACGTAAATTGAAACACGTTTGTACATTAATCAAGTAACTTATATGCTAATAACGTATTTTTTTCAATGTTGCAGACTATTTGCCGTCAAGTTGTCATCATACATGAACACATTCAGACGCTTGTTTATAATTCATGCATGCATTATCTTTTCATCAATGAATACATTTTACATAATAAGTATAAACCTGATAACTAATAATAAGGCTTCATTTGTGCTTCGTTTCTCCATATATAAGTACTAATATAACATGTTGGCGATTAAAAGGTTTTAAACAATTAAGTCATATAATTAGAACTGATATCTTAATGGTTTTGGCCTTGTTCCCCGAAATTTCCCTTTCACGAGTGTCAAGTTACCAAATAATTATGTACTTTACAGCAATTCAGTATTACGTTCTCCAAGTCCAACAGCAGATTGGAGAAGTGACGGTGAAGGGCGGCAGGAATCTGAACATCGGAGGGACTCAGAACATCGGTAAATCGCAGCCCTGTCCCCAGGAGGAGGAGGAGGAGAAACCACTGACTACAGTACAGAAGATCAGGAGTGAGTTCCAGTGGATAAAGCAAGATAGATGATTGTTCATGTACAAGTATCATTGTAGTAATTTAGAGTTATATTTTTGTGGATAAAATAGTCGTCAAGTATAAGACCGTGAACATGATGAAAGGGTCAATACATTGATGCAAGAGGTATATGCAGAAACAGGGACAAGAGACTTACGCTACGTGCATCTTCTGCAATATAATATCTATGCACTATATAGTAGATGATACTTTTAATTTTCTTGAAACGTGTTCCATATCTTCATCAGGTACTATTTCCACAATTCTGAGCCATTACATTATCGAACGTAGAAGTTAACATGAAAATGATAGTAAAAGTAGATAACGGATGTCAATGTAAAACAATATGACCATTAATGGCATGCTTAATTTGTTAACAAGTTTTGTGTTAAGAAAAAGTTCTTATTCTTTGCGATGTTGTTTTACAAATTTACTTTTCAATAGCCAAAAATATTAACTCTCAGATTTGTTAACACAATTTCTCAGCTCATTTACTGATATATATCACAGTGATCAGTTCTTAGTTTTAATAATTTATTATCATGTGGAGCAAATGTGAAATGTATTTATACATTAAGGAGAGGTTGCTTGTAACAATAACACTAGGTCAGTATGTGTGAAAGAAGGATCGGATTTGTACAGTTCAATCAATTTTATTATATTTTTTTCAGAACGAACAGAATCAAGGATACAGTCATGGACCCAAGGTATGGTTACGACACAGGCACATAAGGAGGTGATGGAGAAGATTGACAGAGGAGCAACATGGGTGACAATAAAGGGAAGACCAGGAGAGGGGAAGTCTACAGTGGCCTACATGGCCCTCAGAGATCTGCACAGCCAAGGGAGACAAGTATACCAAGTTGTGTCCCCAGACGAGTTCAATGAGGTCACCAGGACTTGTACCAACCCAGTGATTATGATGGATGATATATTTGGTGATCTGGAATTTGACGTTGCAGAGTGGACCAAATGGAGACCCTCTCTTCGTCCGATTCTTGATTTGCCAAAGCCTGACTTGGATCTAAATGGTGCTTTGAATAAGTCAACTGCCATCAATCCAGAGCAAAATGAAAAGAAACAATCTTTATTTATTCTTGTAGGTCGTGATTATGTACTTAAATCCTCTTTACCAGACCTTGGAAGAGCGAGAGAATATCTTACAAGCAGTAAACATCTAGTGGAACTCTCACCAACCATAGATCGTGAAGAAAAACTGAATATTTTGAAATCAGTTTTTCGAAAGGAAGGTGTTGACATTGAGAAAAAGGTCATGTTTGAATTAAGCTACATCGCGTGTCCACATGGGTTTCCACATGTCTGTAGACTTTTTGCCACAGCCTTTAAACAGAATGCCAAGGTATCAGCAAAGGAGTTTTTCACAAGACCTCTTGAATTTCTAAACCAAACTTTGCAGAAATTAATATACAATAAATCAAAGCATCAACTCCTGAAGGCAATGATCCAAGGAGATGGTAAAGTGTCTCAGTCTGAATTGTATAAAGACAAATACAAGATGCATGACTGTGTATCATCTGCCAATAAGCTTGTTGGGTCATATCTGAAGCTGGAAGATGGAACATACATGTTTGACCATCCATCAATCTATGACAGTGTTGCATTTCTTCTGACTGAAAAAGATCCAGTATTTGTCATTGAGAATTGTAGTCTCTCATTCATCAACCAGCGACTTAGGCATGGGACTGTTGAAAACCAAGGTTTCGTTGCAGAAATCCCACTTTTCTGCATTGACAACTTGGTGCAGAGATTTGCCATGGAGATTCAGCTGGGCAACTTGGCATATGTAATCTCACACCAAATCTGTTGTGATCCTGATTTCATTGATAAACTGATGAACATACTGAAAGTACAATATCAGATATCTGTAAATACATTTCTGAGGAACACTGATAGAAAAACACGAGCATCCTGTTTGGAGTTGCTGCCAAGCAACAAATCCCCAACCATGGTGAAATACATACTGGAGAAGGGAAACATTACACTGCATCAGTCAGAAATAGATGAGATCTTATTGGGTGTGTGCAAACATGCTGCAGGAAATGTGCTGACATATCTGACACAACATGTAAAACTGGACATCAATGCGACCTACGGAGAACCTGAACAGACCCCGCTGATGATAGCAGCGGAGACTGGAGATTGTAACTTTGTACGCCAGATACTTCGCCTTCTTCCTGATCTGAATGCATCGGACAGCTATGACAGAACTGTGCTGCATTACCTGTGTAAACATGGTCTTGTGTCAGCTGTGGAGTATGTGATTGACAAGGGTGTAGATATTGATGTAACAGATAAGATGAAAAAAACTTCACTTTATCAAGCGTGTCTGTCTGGTCACAAGGGCGTAGTGAAACTGTTACTGGATAGAGGAGCAGTAGGTTATGTGGATAAGTATAAGTATAAGTATATGTCTCCTCTATTTGCGGCTTGTCTCAGTGGAGAGGAAGAAATTGTAAAACTGGTGCTGGATAGAGTTGATGTTGATAGTGAATGTACGTACGCATCTCTGGTTTTGGCATGTCGGACAGGCACGGAGGGCATTGTGAAAGCTTTGCTGGAGGGAGGAGCAAATGTTGCTGGTCACGATTTCTATTTTAATCCTTTGTATGAAGCATGTACAATTGGACATGCGAACATTGTTAAGACTTTACTTGTGGCAGGAGCAGAACTTAGTGGCGATGAAGTATGTGCTGCATGTAAAAGTGGGAATCTGGATGTTGTTAAGATGCTGTTTGATAAAGGGGCCACAGTCAATATGATATCGAAGCATGGACAACTCCCTCTTCATGAAGCATGTGAAAGTGGAAACCTGGATGTCGTGAGAGTTTTGACGGGAAAAGGAGCAAATGTCGGCATGGTGGCTCCAAATGGAAATACTGCACTGCACTCAGCGTGCAAGGGAGGAAGCCAAGAGGTTCTTCTATTTTTACTTGAACAGCTTTATACGTCTCACGAAGAAGACGAAAAAGAAGTTGGTCAATCGGCTGAAGGTTTCAGAAAGCAGAAAGCTGACAATAATTCAGGTATCAAGTCAAGAGACACCCCGGCAGCTGCAGCGAGAGTAAATGTAGAGGATAACAAAGGAAACACACTACTTCATGAAGCATCAATCCATGGATCGAAAGAGTGTGTTGAACTGTTACTGAAGGCTGGGGCTGATGTAAAAGTACAAAACAACTCAGGCCACACTTCACTTCATGGAGCATCAATCCATGGATCGAAAGAGTGTGTTGACCTGTTACTGAAGGCTGGGGCTGACATACAGGTACAGAATAGATCAGGCGACACACCACTTCATTACGCATCAATGTTTGGATCTCAAAAGTGTGTTGATATATTACTGAAGGCTGGAGCTGATTTGAAAGTACAAAACGAGACAGGCGACACTCCACTTCATAACGCATCAGGGCGTAGATTGAGAGAGCGTTTTGACCTGTTACAGAAGGATGGCGTGAATGTTGGGGATAAGATAGGACGCGAGACACCCTATGGAGTATCAATGTATAGATTGAAAGAGTGTGTTGAACTGTTACTGAAGGCTGGGGCTGATGTGAAAGTACAAAACGAGACAGGCGACACTCCACTTCATAACGCATCCAGGTGTGGATCTCAAAAGTGTGTTGAACTGTTACTGAAGGCTGGGGCTGATGTGAAAGTACAAAACGAGACAGGCGACACTCCACTTCATAACGCATCCAGGTGTGGATTTCAAAAGTGTGTTGAACTGTTACTGAAGGCTGGGGCTGATGTAAAAGTACAAAACAACTCAGGTTACACGCCACTTCATGAAGCATCAATCTATGGATCGAAAGAGTGTGTTGAACTGTTACTAAAGGCTGGGGCTGATATACAGGTACAGAATAGGACAGGTGACACACCACTTCATAACACATGAGGTGTGGATCTCAAAAGTGTGTTGATATGTTACTGGAGGCTGGAACTGATGTAAAAGTACAAAACGAGTCAGGCGATACTCCACTTCATGAAGCATCAGGGTGTGGATCTCAAAAGTGTGTCGATATGTTACTGAAGGCCGGCGCTGATGTTAAAGTACAAAACGAAACAGGAGACACACCACTCCATGCAGCATCAATGCATGGATCGAAAGAGTGTGTTGATCTGTTACTGAAGACTGGAGCTGATGTAAAAGTACAGTATAGCACTGGCGACACACCACCCCATAAAACATCAAGATCTGGATCGAGAGAATGTGTTGATCTCTTACTGAAGGCTAGAGCTGATGTCCAATTACAAAACAACACTGGCAACACACCACTTCATGGCGTACCAATTCTATGAACGAAAGTGTGTGTTGATCTGTTACTGAAGGCTTGAGCTGCTGTGAATGTAGAAAATAACACAGGCGACATATAGCTTTATGGAGGATGAATGCGTGGATCGAAAGAACGGATTGATGTGTTACTGAAGGTTGGAGCTGAAGTGAATGTACATAATACACCAGACAACACACCACTTCATGAAGGATCAATGCGTCTACGAAAGAGTGTGTTGATCTGTTACTGAAGGCTGGAGCTGGTGTAAACGTAGAGAATAGTACGGTCGACACGCCACCACATGGAGTATCAATGCATGGGTCGTAATTGTTTGTTGATGTGTTATTGAAGCTCTGAGTTGATGTTAATGAAGAGACAGTGCGGACGACACACCACTACATGGTGAATCAATGCATGGATCGAAAGAGTGTGTTGATATATTACTGGAGCCTGGAGCTGGTGTGAATGTACGGAATAACACAGGCAACACACCACTTCATGGCGCATCAATGTCACGATGGAAAGAGTGTGTTGACCTGTTACTGACGGTTGGAGCTGATGTGTATATACAGAATAACAAGGGAGCCACAGTTCTCCATAGAGCATCAATGCGTCGATCGAAAGAGATTTATTATGTTACTGAATATCAGAGCTGTTGTTAACTTACGCAACAAACACAAGCGACACACCACTCTGCATTAAAGAGTGGTTCTTAAAAGTGGGTTGATATGTTACTGAGGGATGGAGCTATTGTGAATGTACAGAATAACAATGGGGCCACACTGCTTCTTCGAACATTATGCGTGGGTGACAAAAAGTTGTGCACTGGTTACGTACCTGTTCATGAGCATGGAAGAGCGAATGGAAATGATGTTTGGATATGTCACCGGAGTTCATGTAAATGTCAAAAATAACACAGACGTCACACGAGTCGATAGAGCATCAGTGAGTGGATCGAAATAATGGCTTCACGTGTTAGTTATGGCAGGAGCCGATGGAATTGTACAAAATACGATAGGTGACACTTCACTTTAACCTTCATTTAGCTGAACCGTCCGCTGGCTTTTTATACCGCTCAGTGCCGTATTGTGACACATCACTTTAACCCTCATTGCGCTGGGCCGTCCGCTGGCTTTGTATACCGCTCAGTGCCGTATTGTGACACGTCACTTTCATCCTCATTTAGCTGGGCCGTCCACTGGCTATGTATACCGCTCGGCGCCGTATTGTGACACATCACTTTCACCCTCATTGAGCTGGGCCATCCGCTGGCTTTGTATACCGCTTTGTGCCGTATTGTGACACATCACTTTCACCCTCATAGAGTTGGGCCGTCCGCTGGCTTTGTATACCGCTCGGTGCCGTATTGTGACACGTCACTTTAACCCTCATTCAGCTGGGATCTCCCTTTAGTTACTGACGATCCTTAGCCCATTTTTATATTGTGATGTTCAGTGATACTTATGGCTCTTATATATTCGCAACGAGTTTTAAATCGAATCTGTGATATTCTAGTTATTGTACTGTCCTTTGTTGACAGATTTTTATTTAGTCTAAATCTATGTATTAATAATGTACTTCTCGTCACGATATGTCTGAAATACTGCCGATGTGATGTTAAATCTTAACTCACACACTCACTCACTCGGTGAGCTGGGCCGTCAACTGGCTTTGTATACCGCTCAGCGCCGTATTGTGATGACGTCGTGGTTTCAAAATCGTACACATTGTATCAAAAGCGCCACGCCCTTCTTATTTCACACATTGTACATCTCTAGTTGATTCTCTTTCCAACAGTATCTAAAGTCAGCAGATTCACGGAACTATCCAACGGTGAAAGTAATGGTATTCTAGGCTTGCTACTTTTCTACATTAGTCGTAATATGGAAATGCCCTAATGTGACAACTGAAGTCAATCAAGCGCCCTACTTTGACATCTAATTGGCAAGTAATTCATATCATTGAAGGTACATATCCGATCTATAATTTGTTTATGTCAAAGTATACATTCATTCGGATTTGTCCACGAGGTTAATTTACCGATAAAAGTCCGGATGAAATTTCAGTGTTTTGACGTAAAAGAAATTGACGGAAGTGGTCGTGATTATTTCATACGCTAAGTGTTTCAAAGATGACCTTCAATCAGTTTCAGTGTCGGTGCTCTTTCATTTGTGATAACCACAACTCGAGGAAATTGACATCGAACATTTTCAAAGGACAAAAAGTAAATAGGGCTATATAACCCAAACAATACTCAAATTGATAACCCAATATCGAACATAATTTATTCTTTACTAACAGTGAAAATGTTTATTCTATCGTACGATCACACAAGAGTAAGTAAACATAGATTCTAATATTGATTGAAAGGTTTTCATACAAAGCAAGTCTTTTCAACAAACCGACTTTCGAGCACTGTCTCCGTTTGCGTTTGTGTCTGCGATCGTAGTATACTGATGTTTACGTCAGCGATTTTGGCTGAATTCGAAATGGGGTTCCTCAATATGCTGACGGTGCTGAAAGAATAGGTAGAAGAAAATGACATAGATCCACTGTCATTGTTGCTAACAGTTGGACAAAGGCAACAACATCCAAATCTCTGTCATCAGGATGTGTGTGGTCGTAGAGAGGAGGGCTACTTTCAACCAACTGCAAGAAATGTTCCATGTGGACAGCTGTTGCATCACCGTGACAACTTTTAATTTTAATGCCATTTTAAAGTATGGCCTCTTACATGTGGTTTTAGAACTGCAAGGAATATCCAAGAAACATGACCGTATTCAGGTGTCTTAAGAATCAAGATTTAGATTTAGATTTCATTGCTACGATATATTATGCGATTTAAAAGCCCCCTGATTGATAAATCGCAACGTAGAAGAAAATGCAAACCAGTCCCCAAAACACAATCACATTGGCGCTGTCAGTGAGTTTAACATGGCATAATATCACTTGATACTCTAAATCGCAGTCGCAGACCGTATTCGCAAACGCAAACGTAGGCAAAATCGGTGACTGGCCCTAACTCGGGCGCACTCACGCACCATGCAAACCGCTTATTCATACTTCGTGTGTTATGATGTGTTGTTGATATTTATATCTAATTTATAAAAACATGAATTTCACCAGGAACTTACACAGGTGAAAGAAATAATTGTTGTTGTTCTAATAGTACAATTATTATCAATATCTAGGATACGTGAAAGACAAAATAACGAAAATGGGAATTATCTCGATTTGTATTGTATTGTACTGCATTACATTGTATTGTATTGTATTGTTCAATGTATATACTCTTCATGTGCTAAAAAAAATGTGTTTCACAAAGACGACCAGGAAACAGATTCTCGCCTCATCTTATATTTCTCACTTGGCTGCCTACTTTGCGCAATAAATACTTGTGTGGCCAATCCATGAAATAACACTTTTTTGTTCATATATCTTTTTATAAATAAGAATTGTATTTGAAATAGATAACGATCATAGATCAATGAACTAATGGAGTTATTTGTCATAAAAGGAAAAGCAGAATATATACATGTAATAGGTTTTTAGTAGTGAACTATGAAAATAGAACTAGCAAAATCGTTCACAAGTGGTTTTCAGTAATAATATCTTTCCCTTTTTTCACTTTTGGCCAAGCTTAACTACATCATATGGAGGGAACAAATATAATTCAGAATTGTTAAGAAACCCCTTTAAATAAACTCAAGAATCGATTCATCTTGCTCTCAGACTAGAGTCACCAGCCATGATATTGCTGGAATATTGCTAAAAGCGGCGTAACACAGTACTCACTGACTCACTCTCTCAGACAAGATATATTTTATACATATTATATTTTTTAGTAAGGAAACAAAAAAATCAAATATTACTTAATACGAATGTAGATCACACTGTATTGATCGAAATAATTGATAATTTAGATCAAGCAGGGTAAATAAAAGTATATTGAAAACTATTTAAATTATCAACACCTTTTTTACATTTACAATGAAAACCTTTTGTCATTCAGAAATCTGTTATCTGTATATTGTGTGCAGTTACTATTTATGTTATTTATTGAACCATTCGAGAATAATATGTGTGGCTCAAATATTTAAAAAAGGCTGTGCAATCTTGGATCCAATTTGACAGCTTTCTCACTGTAAAAGATTCCATTCCCGTACTCAACTGTATGTACATTAGTGTTTTTGATTTTATGATTGTGAATATGTTGCTCAGACGTGGGAGCTTGTTCTCAACTGGTTAACGACATCAGTGGAAGGGAGACAACTCTCTCAATGTAGTTATATTACTTATCAAATGTATTGTGTTTAAACAATCACGAAAAGGGTTTTCAGCTTAAGTTGAAATATATTTAAGGTAAAATTATTAGATAGTACAATATGACCAAATTAATTGCATTCTTAAATTGCATTTATACAGCTGTCTTTTAGTTCTGGTCTTCCTTGCACAAACTTTTCAATCCTAGGAATATAACATGATATCATATTTTATTAATGTCTATATTTGCAATATGCTTTGAAAGTTTGATATAAAGGGAGTGGATTTTGAATTATGTATAATTGTTGAAATGTTGCACATTGTATTTTATTTGAAATGTGAATAAAGATTTTAAAAAATAAAAAAAAATAAAAAACGTATTGTTTTTTAATAGCACACCTTCAAACAGACATGAAAAGCACATGTTAACATACCAAAATTAGACAACTGTGCCAAATTCTAACGGCGTTAGTCAGGCGATAAACGATCTCACTTAGTCATCGATCGCCGTGGAAATCTTCCCAAACGTGGTGTACTAGATATACGTTCTAGTTCAGATCAGTTAAGTCAAAGAATATTATTATTTAGAAGATGAAACAACGTACATGTACGTATAA